ATTTCTCAAAAGAAGACATTCATACAGCCAACAGACACATGAAAAAATGCTCATCATCACTGGCCATCAGAGAAATGCAAATCAAAACCACAATGAGATACCATCTAACACCAGTTAGAATGGCGATCATTCAAAAGTCAGGAAACAACAGGTGCTGGAGAGGATGTGGAGAAATAGGAACACTTTTACACTGTTGGTGGGATTGTAAACTAGTCCAACCATTATGGAAAACAGTATGGCGATTCCTCAAGGATCTAGAACTAGATGTACCATATGACCCAGCCATCCCATTACTGGGTATATACCCAAAGGATTATAAATTATGCTGCTATAAAGACACATGCACACGTATGTTTATTGCAGCACTATTCACAATAGCAAAGACTTGGAATCAACCCAAATGTCCATCAGTGACAGATTGGATTAAGAAAATGTGGCACATATACACCATGGAATACTATGCAGCCATAAAAAAGGATGAGTTTGTGTCCTTTGTAGGGACATGGATGCAGCTGGAAACCATCATTCTTAGCAAACTATCACAAGAACAGAAAACCAAACACTGCATGTTCTCACTCGTAGGTGGGAACTGAACAATGAGATCACTTGGACTCGGGAAGGGGAACATCACACACCGGGGCCTATCATGGGGAGGGGGGAGGGGGGAGGGATTGCATTGGGAGTTATACCTGATGTAAATGACGAGTTGATGGGTGCAGCACACCAACATGGCACAAGTATACATATGTAGCAAACCTGCACGTTGTGCACATGTACCCTACAACTTGAAGTTTAATAATAATAAATAAATTAAAAAAAAAAAAAAAAGGAAAATAAAAGGAAAGCAGGGAACTGAGACAGAAATGCTCAGCAAAATGACAAACCTCACAAACCCAGTTAGTGGCAGAATAATGGGCACTAGTGTGGTTTTAATCATGTCTCCACTAAGAGAATCAAATTCCAGATTGAGAAAATGAAAGTAAGGTAAGGTTTACATAGGGAGGCCACAGGTAGATAATCACTTTTACATATTGATAGCCATTGTTTAAGAAACAATTCAAAATCAAGCATTTCCAATTTTTCCCACTGAAGATTTTTTCCAATAGTAAAGCCTAACATTGGTAGGCATTACATCAGTTCACATTTTAAGCCACAGACAGACTAAAAACAATTGCTGCATCAGCTCAAAGGAACATTCTTCTGTAATCAATTAAATTCATTGCCTTGATTATTCAATTTCTGCCAAGAAACAATTTTAAAAGCCTGTTCACAACACTTTGTTTTACAATTTCCAAGACCACTACAATGACCTCCTGAGGACCTGGAATTTTAAGATTTTTTTCCAGTATTCCCTGAGGACAATATAGCAGGAAAACAAAAATGAACAAACCCCATTTACATCTTAGTGCTATACATGTGAAATATACACTCTTCATTCATCAGGTTTTTTAATCTACCTATTATAACTGTTATCAAGTGACATGATTTTGCTGTAAGCAATTAAAGGACTTTGGAGACCTCAGAACTGGACGAGCACTGTGGCTTTACCATGTAGTTTCTGTGTGTACCTTAGCAAGTCACCTACCCCCTCTGAATTTCAGTGACCTAATCTTTAAATAAAGACAACAATGCTTATGTCACAGGTGGGTATGATAATTAAATAGAATAGTGAGCATAAAACATCTAGTATATTATTAAGATAATTACCTTTTCTTTCCATCCAACTTTCCCTTCACTCATTCTCTCAGGTGTACAGCTTGGTTGTATAACTTTATGTCAGCTTGCCAAGGGTTGACATGAAGAACCTTGATAACAGCCACAGAAGTAGACTAAAACTTGACTTAGAACCACTCTAAAGTCAGTTCCCAGCTTGCATTTTTGTTGGACAGGGAAAAGTGAAGACTACATAGGCAATAGGCTTTCTGGCCTCCACTTGTACAAGGGTAGGTTTGTGTTTAAGAATTTTCAAGACAGATTTTTTTTCCCCATTTCTCTCAGAGCCAAGGTAAAGATAGGTAATTACTCCCATGATTTTCATCTAAATTGTGTGTGGGGGGGAGGGGTGTTTTTTGCCTTTTTTTTTTTTTGAGATGAAGTCTGGCTCTGTTGCCCAGGCTGGAGTGCAGTGGCACAATCTCAGCTCACTGCAAACTCTGCCTCCCAGGTCCATGCCATTCTCCTGCCTCAGCCTCCCAAATAGCTGGGACTACAGGTGCCCGCCACCACGTCTGGCTAATTTTTTGTATTTTTATTAGAGACGGCATTTCCCTGTGTTAACCAGGATGGTCTCAATCTCCTGACCTCGTGATTCTCCCACCTTGGCCTCCCAAAGTGCTGGGATTACAGGCGTGAGCCACCGCGCCCTGCCTTGTGTGTGTTTTAAGTTTACCCCTCTTTACTTGTTTCCTTTCAAGAGTTTTGGCCTTATGTTGAGTCTGTAGTCTCAGGTCTCTGAGTTCTAACCTTCCTCCTTGAGTGGGCCCTAAACTACCCCTTCACTTTTTCAGTAAAAACTCATCTCTAGATAATAAAGAATTGGCAGATACCCACGGGCAGAATCCTGCTTTGGTGCATTCATACCTCTCTAGCTTCTGCCTTCCAGATTTCTAGTCTCCGAGAATTGCTTTTAATGTCCTGACAGCAAATCAGTGAATTTAAAAACATTTTACAAATTATTTTTTTTCTTTCACATTTTTAGCTACCGTCTACCATTTTCCATATTTTTAGGAATAGAATTCCAGTCTCACAGATTATTTTCAACCCTTTCTAAATAGAACACTAAGGAAATTCCCTTAGTTTGCTTAGGTTGCCATAACAAAGTACAATAGGCTGGATGACTTACACAACAGAAATTTATTTTCTCACAGCTCTGAAGGCTGGGAGGCTGAGAACAGGGTACCACTATGATCTGTCCACGTGTAGGTTCTCCCCTTGGCTTGCAAACAGCAGCTTTCTTGCTGCGTCCTCACATGACCCTTTTCTGTGATTGAGGGGAGAGAAAGAGAAAGAGCAAGATTTCTAGTGTTCCTTCCTATAAGGGGACTGATCCCACCGCGAAGACTCCAACCTCATGACCTCATTTAGCCCAATTACCAGCCATGGGCCCTGTCTTCAAATACAATCACATTGAACGTCAGAGCTTCATCATAGGAATTTGGGGGAAATAAACAGTCCATAACAACCCCTTTCTGTTGAAATAATGGCTTTCTGCTGTATGCAGAAAGCAAGTATCATACTTACTGGTATGATCTTGAATTTCAACACTTGTAATGACAATCTAACTCAAAGAGTTGTTTTACAAACTAAATACAATACCACATATAATACAGGGATCACAATGCCTAGCACAGTAGGAACTTAGCAAAGAGTCCCTCCCCTTCCCTCTTGCTTCTACCACTTGCTGTGCCCACAGAGTAGTTGCATGTAGCTGACTGGTACAGAAGGACCAACTTCAATTTCAGCTAAGAAATGCAGCAGACAGTGCAACGATAATCCCAATTATATTACCCTGTTGAGAGTTTTCATCATGTAGGTCACCAGAAGGGAATAAAGTGGAGACAGTGGCATAACATGAAAGCAATTAGAAAGGTTTATTGAAGAAACAAGTAAAAATGAAGTCAGACAAAAAGATGACACTTGGATGCTTTCTTTTTAAAACTCACACCCAAGCCACAAGTTATAAGCCATCCAGATGGTGAGCTCAAGAAGACAGAAATGAATCACTTATTTGTACTACAGTTGGAGGATTTAAAGATCATTGGGGAAGATGTTCAAAAGCTTCACTCCAATTAACCTCACCCCATTAAGTTTGTCCATCCACAGATCAGAGCCAAAGAATGAATTTCAAGGATGAAAGAGAAAGATCAGGGAAGATACCTGAAGTCTGCAGTAATTTCTCCAGAATGAAGAAACCCCCCGAGAGAAAAATGAAGCAGCTTTAGCAGACAGGATGGATCAACATGCAACCAGGATAAAACATAATTCTTCCCAGAAAGTGTTGAAATGGGGACAACCTTCTGATTTAATTTTAAAGGCTATATTTGAACTGTGTGACCCCTTTCTGAATTTCATCTGATAACTGAAACAAATTATCATGTGTCACTGTTTGTAGTTTTGCAGAATCCTAACCTAGATAATTCAGAACCCATTTCTTCTCTCTGACACTTTCCCTCTTGCATAACAATAGAAAGAAAAAGGGAAATGGTATTTCTTCTTGCAGATAGTCATCAAATAAAAAGTGTGGTAATTCTGGTGGAATCTCTGAAAATTAAGATATTTTAACAGCCCTAAAATATTGCCAGAAAGTGCTATTTTAAAATGTCTTCGTGACCTTTCTGGCTAAATTGGAAATGAAAAATAAGAGATAAGCACGTTTTTCTTATTTAAGAGAAGTGAAAAGCTGTCACTAATGGACCAGGAAAATGAAGAAGTAGAAAAGAACAGGTGGGAGAAACTGGAAACATAAACCACAAAGTCCATGTCTGTACTATAATTTGTATTTTATACATTCTTTGCAAAACACTTCTACAGATTTCCAATTGTCCTATAGGACCCTTTCCCAAATGTAGATCCTTTTTCTTGATTCTCTAAATTTTAATACTAAGCAGTGCCTCTTTCAAAATGAGCAATTATTAGAAAAGAAAATTAGCTTGGGCGCTGTGGCTCACACCTGTAATCCCAGCACTTTGGGAGGCCGAGGCAGGTGGATCGCCTGAGGCTAGGAGTTCGAGACTAGCCTGACCAATGTGGCAAAACCCTGTCTCTACTAAAAATGCAAAAATAGCCAGGTGTGGTGGCAGATACCTGTAATCCAAGCTCCTCGGGAGTCTGAGGCAGGGGAATCACTTGAACCCAGGAGGCGGAGGTTGCAATGAGCTGAGATGGAGCCACTGCACTCCAGACTGTGACAGAGAGAGACTCCAACTCAAAAAAAAAGAAAAAAATTAAAAAAAAAAAATTAAAGGATCTGACCCCTCTCAATCCTCACAGTACCTTCTCAACTGAGACTGTAAATATTAACATCTTAGAATTTGTAATTAGGCACAAACAAAAGAACTTCTGGTAGATGGCACATGCCTCTTTCCCGGTTTCTGGCTTCAAGGAAGGATGCCATCACTCCTGTCTGCTGTCTTTGAAATTCCCAGGTAATGACCAAATAGTTGTATGTATGTATATCTGTGTATGTCTATGTATATCTTTTCATATATATGTAAAATTACAATCATCTTACTTTAGCCCCTCCGGTAATAATTTTGCGTGTTTCTTGGATGCATAGCAGGTATTCTATTTACATTTACTGCAAACAAATATTTTTTTTAAAAAGCAATGGAATTATAGTAGAACCAGGCAGATTTAACAATTGTGACAGAGGAATAGCAATATAACAGATCTGCTAAGTAGAGCAAAATAAATTGCAAAATGATGCAGTAGGGGCATACTGAAATTTAACATGGCAGCGGGGATATGGGTATATACCTCATTCCAACTGCAACTGAGTCTCCATATAAGTAGCTTCTTTAGCTTACCTGGTGTGTGGATGAAAATTCTGTTAATGCTGAATGGCCCCCTCCCCTGTCCCACTCCAATGAACATTTTATAGAGAAACCAATGTTAATGTAGGTCGTTGAAAACAAAATTTACATGCTTCTGTGCAAGTTGATCAATACGATTAGGCATGTCCCTTCTGCAATTACTTTAAAATTTATTCTTCCTTGTCATAATCCTACAGAATGGATTGAAACAGAGAAAATGGAAAGAGAAAGACACCATTAACTGAAAATCCAGCCATGATATCTGATAAGTGAAACAATTATTTTTGTGCTATTTTTAGAATTCAACAAAATTTCTTTCATAAGACTATACCATGCCCTCAAGTTTGTTTCTATTTATAAATGCCTCTGCCAAGAGTCATTCAGGTTTGTACTTCTCATATTTTTCTGTTCTATGTTAGCTGGGGAGCATATGAGACGGCCTGTGTACTTGACAATGGGACTTAAAAGCATTCTAAAAGAAGAAAATAATGTTACAATTGGCTTATATGGTATATGATTGAGTACGCTGTAGCTTTTTAAAAATCAAGAACATTTATAGCTATGTTTCAGAGTGCTCTCTTAAAAGCTGAAGTATCAAATCAATGGGAGTCAGTGGGAGTATGGCAGGAGGTGCACAAAAATAACCACAAATTTGCTCAGAAACAAAAATTTTTTTTCTTGTCTTTAAAAATGCCTGTTGCGTTAAAGAGTGTCTCACACATGAAAATATTCTGCTTTATGTTCAGAAGTTATTCACGAAAGGGGGCTTGAAATTTTGGGTATTCTCTGCAAGAGGGATATATAGACTTTTGATAAAACTGTTCAAATTTCATGAAGAATATTGATATGGACAAAGATACAACCTGTGAGTTTCTGCAACAGTTTCATATGCTTTTCTACTTGAGATTAATTTTTTGCAGAAAGTGAAGCAAAGCCAGAATCCATTTTGGAAGATTTTCCTTAAGTTGCAAGGAGGAGAATACCCAGCTTAGCAGTTTTTCCTTCTCAGCCCTAAATAAAGCAATCCAGCCAAATACTCATTTCATTTCTACCCTGAAGATATCATTATGGTCCTGTGGTCAATGCGTGAATCTCTGAATATCCTGTTATATAGCACAAATTGTAAAATGTCTGGGATGGTGGAAAGTACATTGGAATGGAAGGTAGAAAATATACATCCTAGTTGTGATTCTTCTAATAGTAGCTATGAGAATTTTTAGAAACCACTTAATTTTCTGTATCTTGGTCTACTTTGAAAATGGGGAGGTTATTGTAGATGATCTCCAGAATCATTTCTAGGCTTAACACAGTGAATTCTATGACTCAAAAGAAAAAGAAAACAGAAGAATGTTTACATTTGTCTCTCAGCCTATCATGATATATATGTATATATGTATATATTTATACATATATATGTTTATATACACATATAAACATATGTATTTATACATATATGTGTATAAATATATATTTATATGCATATATATATATATAAAATTCTGAATGAAGAATAGAATACTTAGTATTTTTCCATTTAATTTTGTTGCCCTAAATATTTTTTATATTCACATGAGAATCACCTTTTGCAATTTTTGGGGGGATGGTGGGTGGGGCTCTTACTTTTAAATTTATATAGTCATACAGTGTTAAGACCAAACAGGTTGGTGCTGTCAACTTCAATACACAGATCAGCTTCTCTCATGGGAAATAAAACTGTATAATTTTTAAAAGTTATTTATTCTCTCATTTACTCTCTAAAGAAGCAAGTGAAAAAGCGGTGCAGATATTTGCAGGGAGAACATTGCAGGAAGAGAAATATGCACGTGCAAAGACAGAGATGGGAACATGCTTGGCATACCTGAGGAATAGTGAGGAGGTAAGTCTCAGAAGGAATGTTTGTAGGAGATAAGGTTGGGGGAGAGCAAGGGCTGATCATATATGTATTTCTACGTTATGATAAAGGTTTTGCTTTTTACTCTAAGACATGAGAAGATCAGACTAAACCTGATTTACATTTAAGCAAAGAACTCTAGCTGCCATGTGAAGAATAGGTTCTAGACAGCAATGTTGGTAGTCCAGAGACCTACTAAAAGACTATTCTTTTGATACTTAAAGAATGATGGTGTCTGGGCTTAGGATTATAGAGAAAGAAGTGGCAATAAATAGATTCAAAATACAATGTTGAAGGTCAATCTTTCAAAGAAGGGAAAAACACCTTAAGCTGTTCTAAAGTGGAAACTGTCTCAAACTGGTTTGGGTAGAAACATATGGATTGATCTGTGGGATAGAGAGGCACATGACACAGCCATTTTTAGACACCTAGCCAAAAGCTCTTCCCTGATACACATTTGGACCATACAGTTTTAGTCTGTCTCCGTCTACTTTTCTCTCTTATAACACACACAAGTCTTACCATGTCAGTTGGGATCCATAAAATCAAACAGAAAACTGAGAAATGGAAATGTTGTTTTAAATAGTAAAGATGTTCTTAGACCAGTGTATTCCAGAGTAATCAGTCTGATGATAGAAGGAAAGGTTCCCTGGTAAATAGCTGGAGAAGAGGGAGTACTGCTTCCTTTTTGAGATTCAAAGTGAATCTTCCCTATTCTTCTGTATTTCTATTCTATTATTCCTTTAGTAGCTCCAAGAAGTACTATTAGTAAACAAACATAATTTTTAATCCTAGTCTTATCCTAACTCATGGTAAAAAATCCCTGTTTCACATAATCTCTTCATTATCTTAAAGAGGTAGTTACATCTATACAGACAGATGCTGAGAAGCTTGGGCTTAGAGAATGTTATTTCTACATAATCTATTTAAAAATATTTTTGGTGGTGTTAGGTGCCCTGAACAGCAACAAATGGCTTTTAATGAGCAAATGTGCATATTGGGTGATGGGATAGAAGGACTAAAATTTACAATATTGACATCAACTAGAGTTTTATAACATGAAATTCAAAGTATATTGTAATAACAGAGTCACAAAATTAAATGTGGTTTAGTATTCTTTGCAAAAAATATTGCATTACTTTTGAAGTACATTAAAATAAATTTTTATTATGCAAATATAGATGCTTCCTAAAATTAATGTAGCTCAATTACATCACTACATGTCAGAAAGGCATTTGAAAGGGTAGGTTGAAAATAATTCTTTTGAATGTCACATAATTTTTCTTTGCAGCTAATCTCTGAAAAGAGGGAAAAAATTCTCTCTACTCAGGCATAGAATAGACGCATTAACAATGGAAAGGTCAGTGCATAATGATGCAAGAGAGAAAAGGCCTAAAGTGCCATATTGATGAAATGAGATGGGGAAAAGTTATATAGAAATATTAATCAATACTTAATTTAAGACCTTTAGGTAACTTGCTAAAATCTTCTTCACTATTTAAGATCAAGAAAATGCTAACCAGTAAATTCCTTCTGTGGGGAAAGAAAAACCACAAGATCTTTGTGTTTAGATTCAACATTTCTCTTTTCCTTTCAATTCTCTATATTGCAGGTAATAATTGACACACTTGAGTTATCCTAGTAGGTATTAGATAGCCATCTCATTCTGAATATAACTTGTCTTCTTGAGCTTAGAAAATCAAAATGTTATAATACAAACTCCACAAAGGAAAATTATATGTTCATCAAAATTCATATTTGGAAAGTTATGAGGAAATGACCGTGACAAAATGTTAGGTAAAATTGCAGTATATAGAACTTTATACATAGTACGATTCACACTTTGTAAAGATAAGTATATGCGAATGCATGTAAAGACCAGAAGAAAACACACTAACTGAAAAATTGTGGTTATCTTTGGATGATGAAATGCATTTGGAAAATGCATTTTTGTCTGCTTTACTGATTTTACAAGTGTGGTGGTATTTAAGATTTGCAGTGATATGGCTGGCATTAGCAATAAGCAGTTTTCTTTTTTTGACCTCATTCTTACTATCTAATTTACCTGTTGACTGTTTCACTTGCTCTGTTAACTTACGTATGTATTCTAAAGGCCAGTAGGAGCTAGAAGGAAAAGAAAAACTGAACACAGAAAAGGTTAAATTATCATTTTATAGAATCAAGCCTTTAGAAAGATATTTGGAAGGACAATGTGTTTGACTGCTATAAAACTGATTGTATTTACATAAAAATTTCATGGGACACATAGAGTGTACTTAGATAAGACAGAAATAAAGTCACACTGATTCACTGATTCCCTTACTATTTATCATATCATAATATTCCAGGAAAGACATAATAAAGGTCCTGACTGTGACAGTGAGGGTGAAATGGAAACAAGATCCATCAGAGATGCAGGAGGCAGTAATTAAAAACATAAAATGAGGTAGTTTAGTTTCAATACCTGTTTCTACCATATACTAGTTAAAAAAAATGGGTCACTCAGATCCCCATTTCAGGATTCGTTTCTTCAACTAGCAGAAGTGACAATTGTTAACAAAGCACAATTTAGTAATTTCCTGGGGATTGACCTGGACAAAGAGAGTTGCCTTGCTGGGAGTTATGCTTCTCCTCCCCAAGAGCAGCCCGAGTTCAATGACTCTGCAAGATGGGGTACCAAACCCTGTCCACCTTGGCTCAATTAAGGAAATTTATAAAGGGCAATTTAAATTTCAGACTTCCATTGTGAGCAGTTTAGATTTTCAGTTGCGAATGTATCTCAGTTCAGTGTTTTCCTCTGCTCAGGCATGCTTCCCTTACTACCTCACAGCTATTGTTCCAAAGATCATTGCCCAAGAAACTTCCTGCATATGCATCTCCGTCTCAGAATCTGTTTCCTGGGTAATGTGACCCAAGACAATTTGTGACAGACAGGTGTGGTCCTAAGAATAGACTAAAAAAATGGGAGTTGAAGGCTGGATTGGCCACAGTTTCACTGGCAATGGGGTACCCATTACTAGTAGTGAGTGAAACTCTTATAATCTTTGGTATGCTACAGTGATGGAATTGTTAAAACTTATACCAGTGATCAACTGGATTGGGGTACTGATAAAAGGAATATATTGACAGGGGCAATATCTCAAGCATCTGAGAGTTTCTAGGGTAGTAGGCATTAAAAGGACAGTGAGAACCCAGGAATGCTACTTAATACTATCTAAGCATGGGAGAAAGACAATGAAAGGGTAAAGATGATTAATCACCAATTCAAGGCAAAGTGTGAAAGTGGAAGGGACTCTTTGGCAGCCTATTAAGAGATTCTTATCTCCTGCAGCCTGAGGGTAGAAAAAAAAAGCTGTGAATTAGGATTCAATTATAAAGGTAGAAGTCCAGAGAATGTTGATTTTCAGTATCAGCAAATCTGCTCTGCCCAGGTCAAGGTCCTGGTTGGAAAGGAGTAGGATCTTAAAAATGAGAATATCATGTCTGATGTACTCAAAATCCTTAAAGCCTCAGATATTCCCCAATCTCTGAACTTGCAAACATGGACAAATTTTCCTTGCTTGGAAGTAATGGAGTAATGTTCAGCTTGCAAGTTAACATGGACTAACCAAGACATAGCCCACCTACGATTCTAGCTTTAAACAAGTAGCTAGGATGAGGTCACAGCATAATCTTACTAGAGAAGTGCTAGACTTGCTAAAAAAGAATAAACTGTAGGACCTAGCCAATATATAACAGCAGGAGCTAGAAGAGTATGCATGAAAGTAATAGCAAAAATGTTAGACATCACCCAAATGCCCATCAGCAGATGAACAGATAAGTAAATATAGTATACTCAGTCAATTGAATACTGCATGGTGTTAAAAAGGAATGATGTACCAGTATGTACTACAGAATGCATGACAATTTTGCTGAATGAAATAAATCAGACCAAAAAAAAAAAAAAACTGTTTCACTTCAGATATATACATTTCTGGAAAATCTGGTCCGTAGTGACAGTTGATTGGTAATTGCCTGGGGATGTGGGGATGAGAAGATGGGAGGGGAGAGAGGAAGGGATACAGAGGGGCACATGAGATTCTTGTGGGTGATAACTATGTCCATTATCTTGATTTTGATGGTTTTACAGGTGTACACATATAAAAAATTCTGAAAATTTTACACTTTAAATATAGTCAGTTTATCATGTCAGTTATATTTCAGTAAAGCAATTGGAACAAACACACAAACCAACTCAATCCCTCTAATTTTGTAGGTTTCAAGTCCACACTGTTCCTCTGTGTACCAGTTACTATGTCCTGGTCACAGAAAATGCTACACAGATTAAAAACAAAAGCAAAGACATCTTTACCTGGAAGTGCCTACCCCTACCCAGAGGACACTCACTGGTTCCCCTCCTCTGATCCTTCTCTGTTCTCTCTCTCATTTCTAGGAATTGGAACTTTGGGCCTCTGTATTTCTCTCTTCCAAGTCTGGGAACTCCTGAAAAGTAAGAACCACTTTTTAGACTCATCTGGGTATCTCCTTGACCCCACATAGAATCAGGCCACTGGACTCCTTTTCAACCATTGTTTTCCCATCTCCACTGAGCTATAGCTCTGAGCTTTCTGATGGCACAAGTGAAAAGCTATTTAGTGTTCTTTCTCTGTGTTCCCCTGTCTAAAAAGGAAGGAGTCCTCTTAATAATACATGTACACTTGTAGCATGCATTCCCCCGTAACATCCCTGTGACACAGTGGGGCTGGATGACTGGGACTCCGCTTCGTGGTGAAAGATCATCATGGAGACAAATTCTGCTTTATCAAGACAGTAGGAAAGTTAGCTTGATGTGCACAAGCTAAGCTACATCCTTGGAGCCTTCTTACTTAGTTTTACCTTAGCTACTCCTTCATTTGCATTCTTCTATTTGCTCAACCACCCCAGACACAAAATCTTCTATTTCTCAAGCTAGCCAAATACTACCACCCCTCAAGGCCTTTGAAATTTTTGTTCCCTCTGTTTGAAAGAGTCTGTGTTGGCTAAAGCAAACTATACACACACACCCCCTCGTGAGTAGTAAATTAAATTCTGAATTAACTAATGAAAAGTTAAAAATAATAGTTACAAATAATAAAAGTTAATAAAAAGGTTTAATAAAAAATAAAAAGTGAAAAAAAAGTTAAAATCTTGGAGGTGAATGGAGTTCAGATAGATGCAGATGTTCTATATCTCAGCCTAGATTTTTCTTGCCTTCCAGAGTTCTTGCTGGGGACACCCAGATGGCAATGAAACTGTCTATGCAGTATACACTTCATCAAACCTGGTATGGGAAGCTGGCTTCTTTCTAACTACCATCTCTTTATACATAGTCCCATATCATCATTTCAGAAGCACTTCAACTAAGTACCCCTCAATCTACATTTAAAAGAATGTTTATAAACAGCTTTCCTGGTTGTTGAACCAAATTAAACATCATCAAAGGCCAGGTGTTTCTGAACAATACCTGGCCAGAGTGTATGGCATTCTGGAACCCCTCTTCTCAGACTATCAAATACTTCTTCTTTAGCCAAGATGCGATTTTTTGAAAAAGGTAAAGACAAAGGGTGATACGCAGTAGAGGATCTCCCAATAGATGATACTCAATAATCATTTTCCAAAGCCCCTCATATTCTATTCCTTTCAGGGCTTATAATCTGTCACTTTTTGGGATTCATTTCACCTGATTCTGTGTGTATGTATGTGGGTGTGTATGTGTATGTGCATGTGTGTTGTGTGTGCGCATGTGTGTTGTATGTAGTAGTTTCCACATATATGGAGATGACTATAGACTGTGCATGAAGAGTTGAAGAAATTTGAGACTCTAGATCCCAAGTCTATGTTTGCCAAAATACGTTCCAATTTGTCAACACTCAACTCACTTTCCTAACAACGAGTCTTAGGTTTTAAATATTTTATGACTAAACTCTATCGCACATCCCTGTTTTCTAAAAGTGTGGCTTTGGAATCCGTCTGGGTTTAACTCATGACAATGCCATGATACCTTGGGAGAGTACCTTACAAATCTATGATCTACTCTGTAAAATGAGATTTCTCCTGTATGGATTAAGATATAATATATAAAACAGACAACAAAGTGCCTGATACATGGAGGTGGTTGTTGCTGTGTAATTGCTCATATATGGCTATAAAATACAGCATCCAAGAATATCAGTCATTGTTCAAACTTATAGTGCTGTCTAATTTCAAACTATACATATTGTACATTCAAAACACACATACCTGTGTGTGTGTGTATATATATATGTATATATGCACAACATATATTGATATCCATTTTTTTTTTTTTTCCTTTTCAGAGACAGGGTCTTACTCTGTCACTCAAGCTGGAGAGCAGTGGTGCACTCATAGCTCACTGCATCCTCAAACTCCTAGGCTCAACTGACCATCCCAATTCGGCCTCTGGAGTAGCTAGGACTACAGGTATGTGCCACCACATTTGGCTAATTTTTAAAAAACTTTTGGTAGAGATGGGGTCTTGCTATATATCAATCAGGCTGGTCCCAAACTCCTTGTCTCAAGTGATCTTGTTCGTTGCATACCAGCTATGTGACCACAGATAAGTTACTTAACCTCTCTGTCCCTCAGTTTTTTTCATCTGTAAAAGAAAACTAACAATAGTACCTCTAATACAGCTTACATAAGGATTAAACAATGTCTGGCACTTGGCAAAATTATGTAAGTATTGGTTATTATTATAATTACTACTATTTTATCATGTGGTGATGCAGTGAATAGAGAAAATCAAATGAAAACAATAGTAAAGATTAAAGATGTCAGATGTACCTCCTTTATTTAACCTAATTTCTGCAACAGATGCTCCTCTCTTAATCTCAACAGGGAACAGATTTCACAGCCCAGGAGCATAATTACAGAAAACGCTGGCTCCTGTGGTCACAAACTTATACTCAGGGCACACTGAGTAACTGCCAATTCAGACCTCAATGGGTGACTAGGGCATATGGTGATAAAGGATCAGTCAAGAGTATACTGTAATGTTCAATAAATGCCAGCGGCTTTGTGAAATTAAAAATAGAGTTTATCGTGCTGCTCCATCAATAAAAGGCTACAACATCTAATGTATAACCTGATAAATGTCTCATTTCTTTTTATTTCCTTCTCTTCTTTGAAATTAGGTTGAGTGTATGTTGAGTATTTAACATGTGCCAGACAATGTGCCAGGTAGGGAGGTAAAATTAAAACAGACATATCCCCTGCCCTCGGGAACATACAGTCTATTGTGGGTTTTTTTTTTTTTTTTTTTTTTTAATGGAGCTGTCTGCTAAGTGGGTTCTCTTGTAGGCTGAACCATACCAGGACCTCAGACTTCAGTGCACATTAATCGTGGTCTGTTGTTGATAGCATAGCAACCGTTTTTTTCTCTCTGTGCATTCCAACCTCTTGTTCTTGGGCCTGTCCACCTCTGGGAAGTTCCACTCTCTCAAGATTTTCCACCATATGGTGGGATGGAAGAGGAGATTGCATTCCATCAATCACTTTGGTTTTCTTCTGTTAAGGGATTTGGTAGGAACTATTGACTGGAGTGAGATGTAGGAATCATTCATATGCCAATGCTCCATTTTCTTTTTGTCTCCAGGCACATAGGATTGGCTGTCTGTGAAAATAAAGCCATAAAGGTCAATAGGTTAATTCTCAGGTTACAGGAACCAATATTCTTTGTTCAGCTAAGACTCTGATTGAACTTTCTTTTGATTTTCGTCTCTTTTTAGAATAGTCAGTTACGGATCATAACTCTGTCTCCACTGGGAGAGAGTGACAGTAAGAAAAGTTGAAATGCTGACTGGAGTAAGAAGAAATAACAAACTCTGCATTATATGAACACATTTCTGGCTAGGTTATTTAGAGAGTGGACATCTTTAAGTACATTCTGCACCACTGAAATGCAACTCCAATACAGCCTAGAGTTCCTCTGTGGTGAATAAAATCCTCTGAGACGTTCTTCCTGTGAAGAATGCTGGGCTATTCTTATTGAAGTTACTTTAGGATATCACTGAAATTAGACATAGACAATAGAAGCATAGTATGAGGAGATCCTGGGCACAGAGTATGCAGTTTAGAGAACTCCCTCTGGATGCTCGGACTTTCTACTTTGTTGATACAACTATGGCCCACTGGGCATTTGAGAACCCAGGTGCAGTCTTTCTGATTCCCTACTTTCTTTGTTATTACATTCCATCCCAGCTTTTGTAGAATGTGGCAATAAATTGTTCTAAATATAGCTTAAATTACATGGGCTTTTCCAGGGTACTTCATGGATTTGTGTGTGTATGTACGATCTAAAATACTTTCTCATAAATACCAAAAGGTGCCAGAATGAAAATGAAGAAACGGAATGAGGGTCAGATATTTTAATTTCTTTGAACTTCTCTTTCAACAGTGGGATAGATAGATACACACACGTGTGTGTGTGTGTACTCTTTGTATATAAAGCAGTATTTGAATAGTTTCTTTCACTCTTTCATCACTTCACCACTGAGCCCAATTTGTAGTGAAGGAATATTTCTTAAAAATATGTGTGTACATATTGTTTACATATAGAGTACACACACACACACACACACAGAAAAAAGAATCTTGAAAAGTATTCCAGCACTATAAATTGAGCTCAGAGATGAAGTGACAAAAAGGTGAGAAACTATTCAAGTACTTTGGAGATGGACGCAAACATGATTCATGGGTGCCCACGTTTAGCTCTGTGTACCAAATTTATTTCTGTCCTTTAATCTTTTTGTAGGAACCATCAGTAATCTATGTTAGGATACATACAAGAATAAAGAGAACTCCATTAGAATCCCTTTTGAGGTCTCCTCCCCAACCAGGTTAGAGAGTAATGAAGCCAGTAGACTGAGAAACTGTGTCCTTAAACAACATCACAGCTAGGAAGCAATTTATTATGCTCCCCTCTAGGCAATGATGTTCACCTTGAAGAATGTAAGACAGACAATCCTTGAAGAGTGCAGACTCACTCCCCACAGTGTCTCCTTTCCAGACTGTGCCTCATTTTTTAAGTGCCCAGCATTGGTAATGGACAGGCAATAGTCTTCTGATGGTAAGCAATTCTCTTTTCATAAAACTGTAGAAAAAAGCCAAGGGCAGTGAGTCCATCTCTGGATAATGTACATTAGCTCATTTTTGGTCATCAGTAATCATGTATTGAGTGACTTCTGTGTGGTCTTCCCCAAGTAGATAAAATTAAGAATGCAGAAAATATAGACATTCTCACTAAAGAATTTACTTACAGAATTTTAGCAAAGTGAGGTACACAGCAAATAAGTTAAATAGTCAATGTTCATAAATCTCTTTTTAAGTTTAGAAGTGAGACTTTAAAAACATAGACAACAAGAAACAACTTCAAAAACTTAAGGAGTAAACTACATGGTGTTATAAAGGAAATATGCTAACATTTTGGTGGACTGATCTGGTTATTAACACTGAGTATACCCATAAATATTTTTCCTTAAACAGTGACCTGGAACTGGCAGGCATTTGATGTGAAGGTGCCGCCTTAAAGAATGCAGATCAGAAGCTCCTTGGGTGTTG